CGTGTATAATTAAATAGGGAAAGATTTGGAGAGAATTGATCATGATTTGTACAAAAACACATGGAAAAAGATTGAAAAAGATCTTTGAAAATCAAATTTCAAAAACCATGAATGCAAATGATTTGGAGTGTTTTCTTAAACCTAATTCACTCAATACTTAAGCCTGATCACAAACCTAATCCCAATAACCATTAAGCTGCGCAGAAAACCCATCATAAAACTTGAAATTTTTGCAAATAAATTCAAAAACTGAAAACACTTTTGCAGGGTGATTCAAGGCATAATAGCTGTTCAAACATCTTCCTGGAGGTTCACTGAACGATTTCCAATCAAAAACATTCATCAAAGCATCAAGAATTGGTACAACGAACCGGACCTGTGCACAAAAAATCTCATAATCTTGCATCTCGATTCATGCACTTTTAATAATTTTTGATGATTGATTCATACTCCTTATGCAATTCTGAAGCTAACCCATATGTTTGATTGTATTTTTATGCATTATACGCGATTATGCCATGGTTGTTCATTAGGGTTCAGGAAGCTTCAAATTAGGGGTTTTGAAATAAGGGAAAATTGGAGCACAAGACCCGGACTATCCTCATCAGGACCTTCATATGAACTCATGGATAGGGTCGCGCTCAATTTATGAGCAACCAATGGCTAATCGCTATTTTCTTGTATGGTGTCTACAGCAACGTTCCAAAACCGTTGCTTAATATATTCTTGTTTCAGGAAAATAAAACAATAAGGAAGAAGATGATGATGTGGAGCATGGTGGTTGGTCTGTTTAAATTTTCGCGCGAAGAATCAGCACTAACGCATATTTATTTTATTATATTTGTTTGTTCTTTAATATACAAAGCGCGCATCTGGAACAATTGGCAAGGCATAAGGCTGGTAACATTCAGGACCTGGGTTCGATCCCAGGTCCCCACTCTTTCCTATTATTTTTCTTTCAACCATTATCCTATGCAGGTTTACTATGAAGGATCACCATACGCTCACAAAATCCAGCCTTCCACGCGTATGCTTAGATCAATCCAAGGGCTACAGCTTGAAGGATACCATGAACGCGAGTCAATGCACTCACACGCTGGGATGAGAGGTCAACGAAATCAGGAGCTTAGTGGGCCTGAATTACTTGGGCTATACCTCCATATTGGGGACTGATACCCCCCTAGGTTTGCCATGTTATTTTATTTTATTAATTCTATTTTCTTTTAATTATTATTTGTTTAATTAATTAATTATTCTCATAAATATAAAAAACCCAAAAAAAAAATCAGAAAAGAGAAAAACAATAAATATTTTTATTTTTAGTATTTTGTAAATAAATTCCTAAATTATTTAGTTTTAAATTAGGTTGTAATTTTAATTCTTTTAATAAAAAAAAATCTAAAAAAACATAGAATTAGGGTTGTAATTAATTTTCATCTTTTTTCTTTTATTCCATAATAATTAAATATTTATTTTTATAATCAAATTTGCATGTAAATTAATTAGGGTTAATATTAGGTTTTAATCTTCTTTTCTTAATAAATTAAAAAACAAATAGAATTAGGTTTAGTATTTATTTTAATTAATTATTTTTTTTATTAAATCCTAAAATACTAAAAAAATACCAAAAACATCTCCTTTTCTTTTTCTTTATTAATTAATTCCATGTAATTTTAATTTTGCAAAAAGGGTCCAACGCCCTCGTTTTTAATTTCCGTTTAATTCGCATATTTATTTTATTTCGTTTAAATATTTATGTATCTCTCCCGAAGCCTTGTAATTAACTTTTAACTCTTTACTTTCTTTATTTTTTCTGTCAAATCGGGTCCTGGTTTAATTTTGGCGATGTGGACCCGCGCCTTTTGTAATAGCTTAGAAATTTTACTTTCCGCAAATTTTTAACTGTTAAATAAATGCATGCAAGAATGAATGGCCTAAAATAAAAATAAACGCATAGATCACTTTGGCATGAACAAGAAAAAAATAAACGAATCCGACACACAAATCACACACCACCCCTAGGGTACGCCTCACTGTTGCCTTGCCTCGAAAGGTGATCGTCGAGTAGAGGATGTCTTAGTAAGTCCTCATGATCCGGGAACCTGGCATGAGGGTAGCTTCTAAGGTGTCTTCCCATTGCTCTGGTGATCACCATGTCCCGAACCTCGAATTGACCCGAACACCTCCAACGGTGGTGCTACCTACCTCTCAATGGTGGGATGGCACTACTTTAAAGGACATTTACACAGACGAATTCCTTAGGGTAGGTAGACGACTCTAGATACTTGCTCTAAATTTCAAAACAAAACAAAATACTTTTCACACCAACACATTTTCAAAAAGCTTTCGAAAGCAATTTTTCAAACACTCTTGAGGACTGATACAAGAGTCGAACTGGAATTTTCAAAGAAACTTTTTAAACCCACAGTTGAAAAGCAAACAAACCATTTTTGAAAACACAAATGAGCAAGTATCTAAGAGCCCATGGATAACCATGGATAGAAAGGGTGCTAACACCTTCCCTTTCTATAATCTACCTCCCGAACCGAGAGCAATCTCTATAAGGAATTTTTCTGTGCTTTTGTCCTTTCCATTTGGAGAAAATAAAAGACGGTGGCGACTCTTGCTTCCGCGACATTTCGCGAACCAGCGTTAAACAGTCAGTTCCAGATCCACCGATCACACCCTCTGACTATTGATCTTGAAAAGGAAATTGCAACAGAAGAAGTTGTTCAATCAGAAGAGGCTGCAAAGTGTTTTGAACGACATGCAACCCCTGAAGATACACCAGCTTCGTCTCTAGTCATGCAAACTCTGGAAGAGTTAAAGAAGGAGAATGCCTTAATCCTCGCCAGGATGGATAAGCAAGAAGGCACAAACAAAAAGATCATGGATATATTTGACAAATAATAAGATACAACAAAATAAATCAAAGACATTCTGGGAAAACAGGAAGAATCAAGCACTCAGATTAAGAGATTTCTGGAAGCGTTGTTCACACGACTTCCCCCTCCTTCTTAGATTTTGTTTAACTTATATTCTGTATTCTTCATCTTATCCTCTTTGTTTCTAAACTATGTCATTGCATTCTGTTTTCAATACAAATCATCTTTTTGACTCTGATTATATTTTTTTTTGATACTTGACAAAAAGGGGGAGAACGTAAGATATTTTTAATAACAGTATACTGGGACAAAGTCTCAAACATTCTGAATATCTTAACTTCTATTTTTTTCTGAAAGCATGAACAGGAACATATTCTGAGAAGGACAGAAGGAGATGCATCAAAATCTCTGATGAGAAGGAACTCCAGGGAAGTAACTCATCTCTATTTGAGCAATCAACTCAGGGGGAGACTCTCTTAAGCTTTTTGTTCTATATTTTTTATTGAAAATCCTAGTTTTTGTCATCATCAAAAAGGGGGAGATTGTTAGAATATAATTTGATTCTACAATCCTTAATTAGAATTTTGATGATAACAAACACAAAGAACAAATATGCATTCTAAATTTGTGCTGTTTTTATACAGAAGTTCTGACTGAAACAACATCAGAAGTTAAGCCACAAAAGCTTTCAAGCTGAGCTAATCAGAATATTCTGAAGAATGACGATCATAATTTGCGCTAAAGTAAAAGATACTCTAATTTTGAACATAAGTCTAATGCGCCAACAAATCCTCATATCTCTGAGTCATCAAGGTTCTGAAGTAAAAGCAGCATGCAAAATTCTCAAGTTCTGAAGCGTTACTTTTCAATTAAGACAGTATCATATGCAACGATTTCATTCAGACAAGAATCTTCTCAGTATGGAAAGTGCATTGAGTGTCCATTATCACGTTTTATTATGGACATATTTCCACGCCTATATAAACAAGCTCAAAGGATAAATCGTTTACGATTTTACCAACGACTGAATATACATCTAAAAAAGATGAAAATTCTTATACTCTTTCATATACTCAATTTGTGTAATACATCACAATAGTGATACAATTTTTGTAACGAAAAACATATAGTACACAGATAATTTTTCTTTGATTAAGATACTGTTCCTTGAGATAAAAACCGTGTTGTGGTCATACTCAAGAAGACTCTGACAGTTGTCAAAGTAGTGTTGTAATCTGTTTGATTAGTGGATTAAGTCCTCGTTGGAGAGAGGCGAAATCACCTTGGCGGGTGGACTGGAGTAATTTGAGATTAAGAGAACCAGGATAAAAATCTTGAGTCTATTGCATTTGATTTTTAAGTTTCAATTCAACCTCCCCTTCTTGTGTTTTTTACTTCTTCAGAATTTTCCAATAACAATAGGTTATTAGAATGTTTGCTTGCCAAGTTTCTATATATCCACAAATATCATTGTAAAGATGTGAAACATGAACAATGCTTTGTAAATCAAATGTTAGAATCACACTTCTCTTGAATAAAATACAATTGTCAAAGTGATTCTCTTCTTGTTCTATTGAGATATGTCTACTATTGCTACTTCTGCTTCTAAACATTTACACCAAGATTTTTGTTAATCACTCCACCTGATTGAGATATGGCTACTATTGCTACTTCCGCTTCTAAGAATTTACACCAAGGATTTTGTTAATCATTCCACCTAATTGATATAAGGCTACTATTTCTATGCTTCTGCTTCTAAATATTTACACCAATGTTTTTGTTAATCACTCCACCTGATTTATGCTAAATAAGTGTTACAAATTCCAAAATCAATCCGCCTTGTGTATGAATACATCACCCTATTTAATCATATTATGACTCTCATTTCTCGAACTTTTTTTATTTCAAATTTCTTGTGAGGGACTCGTAAAATGTTAGTTGAACAATTAAATTTGTTTGGTAACACCATATGAAGCATCATTTCCATGGATGGTGATGGTGGGCAAAGATTCAACATCTGATTTTAGAACTCGATTATTTGTGTTGGCATCACGAAATTGTTGACTGACATCTGTAAATTGTTTAAATAAGCCTGCATTTTCCAGCCTTAGTTTTTCAACCTGAGAAACAATATATTAAAATCTCATAAAGAAATTAAAATTGTTATAAAAGATCTATGCAATTAAAATTTTAAGAAGAGAAGTCAAATATTTAGCTAGATAATTCATCTAATAAAGTTACCTGAACCTCGAGATATGCCAAATGTACTTGTTTTCTTCTTTTGGACCTTCTTGCAGAATCGCGATTTCACACCTTCCTGAAAGCATGGAAATCATGTTAAGTTGCATGAAAATATCCATTTATGAGTTTATAAAACTAACAGAAAATAAATGAATGTTTCATGAGGTACCTTCTAAGGCACTTCATGTCAATAGGGTTTGTACTTTATTCACAAGGACTTGCTTCATCATCTACATCGGATGGATCACGTGAAGAACCACTTTGTATAGTCAATCCTTTGGTTTGATTTTCTCTACTGCTTGTTTTATTAGCTTACATTGGGCTCGTAATTATCCATTATACAATCCAGCAATATATTATGTGACAAATTGTTATGCACATACAATGAAGTGATTTATAAATGGTAACTTAGTTTCATATATATCTTATAATGGTAGGGCCGTGGGGATGATTATCTTATCTTGTATTTGAAAAAGAGTTGATACTAATATTTTACATTGTCCATGAGACCCCAACCATTGCATCATAACAAATAAGGAACATGATATCAAGTATGCTTTTTTCTTTTATATATAACATCATATAATTGTTTCATCCTAGTACCGTATCCGATAATAGCTTCATACAAGTCAATGATTTGACAATATAGGCCATAAAATTGCATATGGGTTCCCAATTAGTGAACTATTCGTTGCTAAAGCATGTCATTGCTCAAAATGAACATAACAACTTATAAAGAAGATTCACCATACAAATATGGGGTAAGATACCCGTGCATTCAAGAAATCAACTGCTTATATTTTAATATAAGTTATACAAGCTAAACCACTCACAACATGGTCAAGATGGGAAACAATCTTAGACTGAGCAATATTTTTGATTTCGTCGACGTCTCCATTAGTGTAAGCAGCAAGAAACTTGCTAGCGCAATAATTGTGGTCACTTTTGAGAAAAGCTTCAATCCTACACACACCACATGTTCACGCATTTTATCATCAATAACGAATTTGATTAATAGATTCCATGGAGCATTTGATAAATTATAGAGTTATGTTTATGACGATTCATATGTGACATGTTGATGTTGGTTGAGTTTACACTTCATTACGATACAAGACAATGGAACAAAGAGGAGATAGAAACTTACTGAGAGCAATCATTATAACATTTCTCTGCTTGCTGAAAGTCATGAGCATAAAGGTAGACGATAATGGCACTAAGATAAGCCTGCATTCATGATAAGATACAGGAGCAGAAGTTTATCAAAAAATAGTTTTAGACTTCAACAAGTTAACAAAATGCTTATAAAATAATTTAGTAGCATGTGTTATGAATAGCTAACACAAACCTTAGTCCTGAATTCTATTTGTGAAAGGACCGTCTTCGAGAGGTTAAACATAAAAACAAACATGCGTGTAAACAATATGGGTTTTAGTTGTATTCACATGTTTGGCGGCCTATGTAATACAAAATATTTTTTTTATATTATTCCAAACCATGGACGGGCTATTGGTTGCATTACATTTGTCAGTTGCCAAGCCCAATATCAGTAGGGAATATGCAGCATCTATATATCTGTGTATCAAAACCATGCCTAAGACAAACATGTCAGTCAATATACAATTACTTATGTTCCATTCCGTTGAATGTTTAGTAACACCAAATGAGTTAGTTAGATGGTTGAGATTCAGTTAGAGTTAGTTGAGGGATTTTGAATTCTATCATGTATGGGCTGGCAAGTTGGTTTGAAGTTAGTTAGTTGTTACAATTCTATTAGTAGATGAATTAGTTAAGAGGTTAGGGTTAGTTAGTATAGGCTTTGAATTCTTCTATAGTCAGTTAGTTGAAGGTTACAATTGAAAATAATTAGTTGTGTGTTAGAAGTCGAAAGTCTCCGAAGTTAGTTGTTAACAAAATGGTTAGAGGCTATGCAAATGATAGTTAATGATATGTTAATAGACCTATTTAATTAATAAAACTGTCATAAAATGTTAGTTTTAAAATTGTTAGTCATAAAAAGATTAAATGGAATGTTAATGAAAATAATTAGGAGTTGGCTGTCAGTTGGATCTGATTTCGTTATCAATGTGTAGGAACATGAACTAGAAAGTCCCTCACTGTATTCTCGCTATATTTTTCTGATCTCTTGAATGAGGATTTATTGAGTGACCCTTGAAGTGTAGAGTTTGACTCTGTACCTAGTTTATGCGAGTTATGTTGCTTATGTACATCTATTCACTTTCAACTTGCCACATGATTCGATTTAATGGCTTTATGTTTATGGAATTTTGTGCACCTTGTTTGGCTTTGATGTAAATTATGTATGTATGGTAGACTTTATGCTTGCCCTTTGGATTTGTGTTATAACCTTGGTTAGATGCTTGAACTGTCATGTACAAATTGTCATAGGTTTACATAGATTGGACTGGATTATATGGTTTTCATTTGCAGGTCTGAAGTTATTGAAACAATGTTGGGCTGGCTTATGTTGAGGACTATTTTTGTGGCTGACTTGAAACAAAAGGAATTGATTTGATATGTATTGTGCACCTTACAATGAGGTATGTACAAACTTTAATGGTTTCCATATGAACTGAATTGGATAGAATTTGAACATGATCATATGTGCATTAATTTAATTGAATTTTTGGTCTGAGTATGGGTTTAAAGCATGGAACACTTGATTATGCATGTATGGCAGATTGCATGCTTTCCCTCTGGATTTATGTTATAACCTTGGTTAGTTACTTGAACTGTCATGTATGGATTATCATAGATTTACATAGACTGGACTGGATTATATGGTTTTCATTTGCAGGTTAGAAGTTATTGAAACAATGTTGGGCTGGCTTATTTTGAGGACTGTTTTTGTGGCTGACTTGTAACAAAAGGAATTTATTTGATATGTATTGTGCAACTTACAATGAGGTATGTACAAACTTTAATGGCTTCCATATGAACTAAATCAGATAGAATTTGAACATGTTCATAGGTCCATTAATTTACTTGAATTTTTGTTCTGAGTATGGGTTTAAAGCATGGGACACTTGAAAGGTTGACAAAATTTTGGTGCATCTTGCTCTGTGAATCAACATTGGATTGTTTGTGAACTTGTAGACTTATTCCATATAGGCGGGGAATCTGGAGTGTCAACATGATTGGATGAGCTTTTCTTTTTCATGTGCGTAAAGCTTGTATTTTTCTCGGATTTGATGAGTAAATTGCATTGATGTGGGTCTGATCTTGATGTTTATTATAGGTGGTTTATTTTGGATTCATAAGGGCTGCATTATAATGTTTTTTTCCTGTTTTGAGAATGGCAAGTTTTAATGTGTTTTTGTAATGTATATGATGTATGTATTTTGCCATAGCAGGTGGATATGTTTTGGTTAAATTTGAACTGTATTGTGCTTAGTTTATGGAATTAGTCTTGAGTTTGGGGTGGTATTGTGATGACATGTGTTGTACTGTGTTAGCCTTCAGCTCTGTCATGAATGGCAAAATAACATATCCTTGACAAAATTAATGAAATAAAATCCTGTTTTACTTCTCTTTTAAATGCATTTCTTATCACATCATCAATCTATCATATTTATAGGTATCACTAACACCCTAAATTCATGTATAGAAGTGACAAAAATATAATGAACATGAACTTAATCAACTATGACAACAAGGCCTTACTCTATATCAACGGTGGTTTCTAAAACCTTCTCGTCATCATAAAATCCTAGCTTAAATCTAGCATAATTAGTGACTTTAGCACACTTGAAGAGTCGCGTGCCTAAGACTTGGAGTAAGTCATCTAGGTGAAATACTAATTTTTCGAGCAGTAACTCTGCTATTTGAGCTACTTTCTTCTCGTGTTCCTAAATAAGTTATATCATATGTTTATATGCTCCGTTCACCCATTATTGCTCTTCAGAATCAATGATTGTATCCGTTTTACTGTTGTACGTTTTAGACGTCTCATATGAATCCTCCAAGTTATTTTATGCGCATGTATAGATTGTTACAATAAGAAACTTTTCAACAACCATTCCACCAAGGATCATACAAGTTTTTGTACCCCAAAATTTTCCCTCCCATTTTACTCAATATATGCTCATTAAGACCCTCAACTTGCTCAAGGATGCTCAAAAGTTGACCAAACAAACTCTCTCCTAAAGCAATGAACCTCCAATTAGGGTTTCCATTTTAATCAAGAAGGGTGAGCTCCAAAGGCCTCATATGATCTACATAGTCCTAATATGTCCTCAAGACCCTCCATGTCAAATTTCAAGCTTTGCACAAGAATTTTTCTTAATCAACTGCTCAAATGCCTAAAAATCAACTGTACTAGGTCAAAAGTCAATTGTGACCCACATACAGTCAAACTTCAAGGTTTTTGGTCAACATCAACATTTTTAAGTGATATTCATCATTTGATCAAGATTTGATCATGATTCCTCAAGGAATGCTCCTAATTCATCAAATTTCTAAAAGTTGCTAAATTAGGGTTTCTTAGGAAAAGTCAACCAAACTTTGACCAAGCATAACTTTCTCATACTTTATCATAAATTTCTCATCCAAGGCTCATTTTGAAGGGAATCCAATTTCCTACAACTAATATTCATCCCTCAAGTTCAAAAAATTCTCTCATAAAAAAATATGAATTTCTACATTATAGGTCCTTTTGAAAAGTCAACAAAATCACCTTTTGGGTCAAAGCTTCTTACATGAACATGGAAGACTCAATCTAAATGAGACCAAAAGGGTTGTTTAGGGGGTATTATAAGATTTCTAAAATGTCCAAGAACACCTCTCTAGGGTTAAAATTGGAAGAGTTATGCATTGTCAAAGTTGACCATTTTTGGAAAATTGCCAAAAGTCAAATGTGCTCAAAAATGTATTTTTGCCAAAAGGGCCTAGCATTTTAGGTTTGTATCTTGTTAAGTACATGGTCCACGACCCAAATCAGCATCCATGTCTTATTTTATCTATTTATTTATTTTATTTTGATTTTTATTTATTAAAAATCACATTAAATCAAATAAATAACAAAAAATGCCAAAGATTATTTTGATGATCTGATTTTGATGGAAATCAAATCTAATTATGATGGCCTAATAAAGCCAAATCGGATCAAGGAAAAAATGCATGATTTGGTGAAGTTTGGAATGAAAGAATATGGCTTAAAGATCAAATATTTTATCCATCAATTCTCAAGATTGGATCCAAAATTGTTACCCTAATTCTTCATACTACATATAATGAACAAAAACAAGGCAAGAGAACAAGGTTTGGCTGCACGAAATTGACACAAGAACTTCAAATTTTTTCACAAAAAGTGGCAATCGGTTTGACCTTTGTAGAGGGATTCAAGAAGTTTTGACACTTGCAATCAATTCCTGGGCACATTTGGAAGCTAACTGGATCATTTGCACACATCAAGACGTCCAGAACGAATTAATTTATCATGCGTGGTATGGATTTTTGAAGTTTGTAGGTGTGTGGCTATGGAGTTCTGTCCGTAGGTATAAACCTGATACCTAAGACGACGAACATGGAATAAGACGATAACTCGTCATCATTCCATTGGTCCGTTTGAACGTTCGCATGTTTTTTTGTTTTCTTCAGCCTAACCATTTGTTTGATATATTATGATTATGTTTTATTATTATATCAAATAACCAATGCAGCGCAGATGGAAGGGGTAGTAGCATGTGAAGCCAAGGACCTGGGTTCGATCCCAGGTCCAAACGTTTTCCTATTTTCTGACCATTTAAGTGCAGATCCAGCGTGCCTCATGATTTAGTGCCTACCGTGAACCCCCAGATCTCAACCCTGAGATCCATCATTAGGCCAAATCTCACAATCCAACGTTCAATTCAAAGAGAGACCATGGTGCACCTTCCAAGCATGCCAACACAGGATCTGGCGCAGAAACTGGGCTCAGCCATATTGGGCCTTGGAAATTTAGAAACACACCCCCTCGGTGCTTATGCGGGCCCAATTTCTCACCTTTTCATTTTAATTCTTTTTTTCTTATTATTTATTAATTATGTTTTTTTAAAAAAACCGAAATTAAATCATTTTTTTTATTTAATCAAAAAAATCATAAAACACCAAAAATCTTTTTTTTTCATAAATATTTTATTAATTAATTAGTTAGATTAAATTAGGGCAATTTAATGACTTTTTTATTATAATTCAAAATAAGTAGAATTAGGATTTAATTTTATACTTAACCTAATTTTTCTTCAAAAAAACAACATAAATATTTTTCTTAAATTAGATTTTTAGGTCGCCAAATTATTTCTCGCGTTTAATTGGCCGCGCGCTTTGGAATTTTTTTTTTATTATTTGTAAATGCTCCGAGTTTGTAATAAATTTAAATAGGGTTTTAATTCCGCATTTTATTTTCAGTCAAAATAATTATGTATCTGTCTAAAGCCATGTAATAGCTAGGACTCTATATTTCTCGCTTTTAAATTTCCGCAACTATGAACTGTTTAGATGTATGGACAATAGGCTTGCATGTGAAAGATAAACGATTAATACAGTAGAAAACCCTAAATGTGCAAAGATAATTAACTGGAAAAAAATACACTTGCACATGCTCACT